GAACACAGACTGTGCAGCGCCCACGAGCTAGGCGCTGCACATTACATGTGTGACGCCTAAGACTTAGGCGCTGCACAGGTGCGTGTGGGGCCGCAGCTGGACCAGGGCTGCCACGTTGGCAGCAAGTGCAACGCCTAAGTGATGGGCGCTGCACAGTAGGGTGCGACGCCCAGCTGTCAGGCGTCACACCGAAGGGTCAGCAGAGTGAAATTTTATTGAAAGCAGGTCAGTTTGTGAATTGATTTCTGCCTCAGGTCAAATATGTGATTTCTGCCTTTCGGAAGCGAGATGTGAGAGCGAGTGGTTCCGCGTCGTTCCATCGATTTGGAGGTACGAGCAGGTTCCGGATCTTGGCCGAATATTCGGTTTGGGGGCACGAGTTGGTTACCGTTCCAGTTGTGTACCGAACGCACGAACGAACGAGGCCTAGGAACAGGTCCAACCCGTTCAATTCCAGTCGGTTACCTGAACTGAACACACCCTTAAGGCGGGCAAATCCTGAAAGGCGCCCGCTGCGCCCGTTGCAGTACATTCGAACCTAGGATCTCTAGGTTCAAAGAGCAACGCACCAACCACTACGATAAGTCTTGATATGTGTCAGTACTGTCATGTTTGGTTTATTCTTTGTCACGGTCGCGGAATCCCCCACTTTTGGGAACCGTTTTTTTTGGAACAGTTTTTTTCTGTTTCCCATTCTGTATTTCTTTTTCAAATGCGTGATTTTTTTTTCAAATTCTATGAACTACTTTCAGATTGATGAACTTTTATTTAAAATCAATGAACTTTTTTGAAATCGATGATTTTTTCTTCAAAATTGATGAACTATTTTCGTGAACTTTATTTTTTTGTGAACTTTATTTCAAGTCGATGAACTTTTTTTAAATTGATGAACCATTTTTCAAATCTATGAACTTTTTTCAAAATTGATAAAACTTTTTTCTACTTGATGAACTTTTTCTTCAAAACCGACGAACTATTTTCAAATTGATGAACTTTTTTACAAAATGGTGAACTTTTTTCATAATGGTGAACTTTTTTCAAAATTGATAAACTTCTTTCTACTTGATGAACTTTTACGTCAAAATCGATGAACTTTTTCCAAATCGATGAACTTTTCTCAAAACAGTGAACGTTTTTTCAAAATGGTGAACTTATTTTCATAACGGTGAACTTTTTTCAAAATTGATAAACCTTTTGTTAACTTGGTGAACTTTTCCAAATTAATTGAACTTTGAAGTCCGATTAAAATTTGATGAACTTTTTACAAAATTGTTGAGTTTTTTTTTCAATTTTTGCGAACTCTTTTTCTAAAACGATGAATTTATTCAAATTCACGATGTTTTTTGTAAATAATTCGGAAATTAAGTGATATAGTATACATGCAAGAAATAGCACAGCTGCACGTCCTTATAGTGTCGGCGCTGTTCTCATTCACAATAGGCAAGTTGTTCTAGTGGTTAGAAACACTAGTATAGGGCGGCAGTGGCTTGAGATCGAATCTTGGGAGCGCCATCTTTTTTGCTGTGGTAGCGAAATCAGCTTCTACATCGTCACCTTGGGCTGATAGTTTTTTTTTGAGAATTCCTTGGGCTGACATATCTTATTGGCATGTCTAGCATCATATTGGGCCGTCTGCAAATCATGGCATGGGCTGGCAACCCAATTTCATGGCAGGAATAAGCCACAAAACCGGTTTTAACGAAGACCAGTAATCTTGCAAGTGCAACACACGTCTAACCTACCATCAAATAATTATTAAAATAGTAATATCTCACATAATTATGAAAATAACAATATTAGAAGTGCAATACATATCTCGACTGACATAAATTCAATAAAAACACATTACAAGGGGATGCAGCTGTTCTGATCCCGAGCTCACATGAGCTCCAGTGAACAGTAAAATCAAAAGTAAATAAAAAAATAAAAAAATCAGTATCTTTTTTTTGCGCGAAACTTTGACAAATGTTTTGATAGCTTGCAAAATTTCATCGCCATATGACATTCGTGGAAAATGTGGCAAAACAAATGATGCCCCAAAATGTTAACTCCAAATCTTTTTTGGCAAAACTTTGACAAATGTTTTGATAGCTTGCAAACTTTCATCGCCATATGACATTCGTGAAAATGTGGCAAAACAAAGGATGCCCCAAAACGTTAATTCCGAATCTTTTTTGGGCGAAACTTTGACAAATGTTTTGATAGCTTGCAAAATTTCATCGCCAGATGACATTCGTGGAAAATGTGGCAAAACGAATGATGCTCCAAAATATTATTTTCAAATGCATTTTGGAGCATTGATTTTGTTTTTTTGCCACATTTTACACGAATGTCATCTGGTGATGAAATTTTGCAAGCTATCTAAACATTTGTCAAAGTTTCACAGATTTTTTTTGGATTTTTTTGAATTTTCTTTTGATTTTACTGTTTACCCGAGCTCATGTGAGCTGGGAATAGAACAAAACTTTCGATTACGAGATCATTATATTAGCACCCAAAGAAACATCAATCTCTTTGTAATGCTCATGTTTTTGGATATCATTGCAAGACAACATTGAGTGACGCCGTGCAACTTTGGTGCATAATCAGAACTTACCAAGGCATTAACAAATTGAGCAAATAACTAGTCTGAGAACGACATGGTGTATATATCAAGAATCTTGTTTAAATATTATCCACTTATTTTGCAAAAAATACGCAAGATTCACAAGGGAGCTAACACTCATAGTGAAATTGCATCTGGGAGCTAACACTCACTTATTTTGCCAAAAAAATACGCAAAATTCACCAGGGAGATAACACTCACAGTAAAACATGCAGTCATACTAACATCCAACATTAATTTGACGAAATGCATGTTAAACTAAGAATGACAATAGCGCTCTTTATTAAGTTGGTGCTTGAATGACAAGGTGATAACTCGGCAATAAATTAAAAAATGACTCTTCACAGAGGAAAGCATGGAGTTGCATATGTACTAGAGCTCATTGTTTAAAACAGAGATTATTTTATTTTGAGAGGTGTAGTTTTAGTTAATAGTTTACGACAGAGAATCACATCATCTTATATGATAAACATGTGTGAGAGCGGTTCCCATGCTTAACGCTCTCCCTCCACCTTTGTCTTTCCATAAACTGTTGCTAGCTAAATTCACGAGTGACTGCCAACATACCTTGGGGAAGAGTGTTTTTTAGTGTTATAATTAATTTAGCAATGCCCATCCCATTTACCAACTTCTTTCCAATATTAAGACAAGTAGATATCAAGAGGGACACATTAGTTATCATACAAGATGACACTCTCCCCCACCGCTCCATGAGCTTTATGGGCACACAAAAGGGATATTCATTTGAAAGTGTAGAGATGGCACATGCAAATTTACATGGAATGACAGAGTAATACCGTATATAGCAAGATATAGTGGACTCTTTAAGGCATAACTTTGGTTTTAAGGATTTTGATGCACAAGCAGTGTTTCCGCTTAATACAAGCGAAGTCTAGCAATAGACTGGGAAGCGATCAACTAGAGAGCGATTACGGTCATAATCATGCATTTTGGGTGACCAACATTGAACATTAGCGTGATGAGGATATAAATACTCTGAACATAAATATCATATAGGCAGGATTGGTTTTGAATCACTTACATGCGTGAACATGTAGCAAGTGAAGACACTTAAATTCTTCAAAGGAGAATGCCATCCTAACATACCACATCATAATTAACTTAATGCATGGTGACACCCAACATAACATATTATCCACTCCTAACTAATTAAGCATGGCATAAGCAACTATGAACTCTAATTATTATCATACATATGTTTATCCATAATATGCTAAAAGAAGATCACTCAGATAAACATATGTACAAAAAACAAAAACAAGTAGAGTTCACACCACTCTTTTTCATCATGATCACTTCATCAAATCATAGTGCGAGTATCACCGTGAACTAAGCTGAAATCTACAAACACTATATACAAAGGAGAAGACAAGGAAATTTTTGATCTTTAATTAGTGCAAAGATAAGGCACATACGAGTCAGTTGGAAATTTTTCTTGTCAACTCCTTTTGAAACAAGACTCAATAAATGATACGTCCATTTTGCATCATTCAAAATTGTTGAACTATTTTTTATGTTTCATGATTTTTTTCCCAAAATTATTGAACTACTCCCTCGTTCCTAAATATAAGTCTTTGTAAAGATTCCACTATGGACTACATACGAAGTAAAATGAGTGAATCTACACTCAAAAATGCATCTATATACATATGTATGTGGTCTATAGTGGAATCTCTACAAAGACTTATATTTAGGAACAAAGGGGATATTTTTCAAATTTGTAAACTTTTTCAAAATTGATGAACTTTTTTTCCAAAATTGCTGAATTGTTTTTCAAATTTGCGAACTTTCAAATCGACACACTTTTTTTTATCTAAACTGATGAACTTTTTTCCAAGATCAATGAATTGTTGGATCAATGAACTTTCAAATCGGCGCCTGAAACGCTGAATAGGATGTCCCGCGTCCCGATGATACACGACATGGCAACGAGTCTGTGCGGAGATTCGTGCAACCAGATCCAACTGGCCACAGTGTATCGCGCGTGTAACGTTCCTAGGGAATGTCAGTTCCATAACATTTCGGTTATAATATTCAGGGCACCTCGTTGTGCAATGACCTGGTTCCACTTATCATTTAATTTTTGCGGGTGAATGATCTGGTTCCATTCCAGTTACAGACAAGTGGATGAGGAGCGATCCAAATAACTTAGAACCAAACACGTGACCGTGTGCGCAGATAAATTTTCGTGTTTAAAATAATTACTTTATTTTTGAGAAGCTTGAACAAATTAAACAATCCATACCCTCTTCATAATCACAAACACCAGGGTGAAGAATAACGCTCACAAAGCAAACTACAACAGAAAAATAGCGGAGTTTGTCTCGATTCCTAGTCCTTTGTGAATTTCGTTACGTTGATTATGTCCTTGTGCTCAGCTAGGATCCAGAGGATAGTTGTGAGCTCACCACCACAGCCCAGCTGCTTGGCGTGTGAATCCCTGCTGCAGCGAATCGACCCGAAGACGAGCAAACGGACCCATGATTGGAGAACGAAGTTCCGTAACACCTCTTCCAGTGGCCAGCCCACACGCACACGCCCATCAGATGGCCGTGCATAATTCTTGAATTTCGGGACCAGAATTAGAAGTCTTCTCTCGAGTTCATCTTTCATCTCATCATCTCTGGAAATTATTACCTCAAAAACTACATCGCCGAAAATTGTGCTCCATTCTTGGTACACATGCTCAGCCAGACACAGCTTCTTGAGCAGTTTGGCATAAATAACAGCGTCCCGGAGAACCTTATTAGTTAACAGCCCGGAATAGGAATGCTGCATCTTCCCTAGCTCGTCGGCAAGCTTCTGACTGTCTGTACATCCGTTACATCTGGATTTGATCCCCTCCAAAGCAACACGGGTTTCTTCATAATGGCTGTGGAGTTTAAGGCCTGGCAGCATTTCCGGACGTTTAGCGACGAGGAACATCATGTAGTCTGATAGGGCCTTGATCTTCTGAAAGGTGTCACAATGTTCATCTTGTTCAGTTTCGGTCCTGCCCAAGAGGAAGATGTCCGTAGCAATGTGCCACGTGATAACGAGCTCATCAAATTCAGCACCAAAGCGCCTTTCCTCGCTGAATGACCTACGCCTATCGGAAGCTTGTGGGGGCATGGGACCCATATCCTTCTCTGGCACCCTCCTTAGGATATAGGCATGAAATATATGCGGCCATATGTCTGCACATAACTCTTCCACCAATGACCCGACCCCCGCGCTCTTAGTCTTAGAGTTGTCATCCCATCCAATCTTGCTCATCGGTGTGCCATCAGTGCACTCGCCCAACAAGTTGTGCTGCCCCATGGTGCGCGACCAAAGCCTGTGGCTACATTCCCCTTGACGCCACAGACGGGACGGATCCAGACAGAGAACAAAGCGACGGAGCCCATACCAGCACCCACGCCGGCAGCAAAGTGTCTTCTTGAGCAGCTCGCATCTTGTAGTATCTTGCAAGAATGCGTATGTCCAGGACGAGCCCAGCGCTCTGAGCAGCCATCTCACATCCAGCAGGAAGGTGCCAATCAGCAGGGCATAAGTGATGGTGATATCTATCCCCCCCATGCCATCTTTACTGTGCAAGAAAAACAGTAAGAGGGCGGTGAGAGTGAGGGGCGGCGAGGCGAGACGGATGATGTAGCCAGGCCAAGTGTGGATCACTGCTGCCTTGGTGTACATGATGTCATACATGAGCGAGAGCTGCATCTCGACCATCTTCACAACATCGCTCCGGTAGGAATACCATGTCTTGAAAGGATCATGTTCTGGCTTCTCCTGGAGCTTGACTGAATAATCTGCGAAGGCACCCAGGGAGACACCGAACAGGCCGTGAGCATCACGGAGGGCGTCATAATCATCCAGCTCGGCGTTTCGATCCTCGGCGTTTTCATCCTGATCAAGACTGAAGCGCCTTGTCATCATCCCCTTGTATGAGCTGCGGATGCGGGCGAAGCCAGCTAGGCGTAGCGCCCATATCCTCTCCACATACTTATAGGATCCCAGGAAGAAAATCATGACGAACGCAGTGCACAAAGCCCTGTCGCAGCTCATGAATCTTTGGTTGTATGCGCCAATCAACGCTACAAAGAGTAGCAGGACCATCTCTACCCCTTGGCGCCACGACAGCACGTTGTCCTCCAAGGAGTAGGCGCTGATGTTGTCGGCGAGGCCGAGATGCAGCAGGACGAAAGGCACCCAGAAGGCGAACAGCTGCTTGCTGCTTGACGGGCTGTCGAGGTACAGCTTGCCGATGGCGAGTTTCGAGGCAAGGTGAGTCACCTGGTACGCCAGCCACACCGGGAACCTCCGCACGGCGGAGTCTTCACGCCGTCGGATGCTGGCGAACAGTGCCAGGATGAGATGCGCGCCGAAGCTCGAGAGGACCGAGCACCGGGTCACCCATAAACTGACATCCTTCACGACCTCCTTCTCCAGCCAAAATCCACCCATGGGTAGCTCCTGTTTTGCAATGAGATAGCAATCACCATATATTCAGTCATCTACGAGGAGATCTTTGTTTTGGCAAAGAAAAGGAACTTTTCCACAGCTACATGCATGCTAGTGACTTCACAGGAAAACGTACCTGAACCGTGCCTTGCAGGTCGGATCTTGGAGAACTTTCCAACTGGGAGATCGATATGAGACGGCCGGTGAATATTGCTACATCGTCGGCAGAAGTATGCCTGTCATGGAGGTTGTACTAACTTGCCCGCGGGCTAGTTGTAATGTACTCCTATTTAGTATTCTGTCGTTATTCATTAAATAACTGTTACACCTCGAGATTCGCGCGCATCAATAAGGCTGGTCACAGTGGGGAGGAACTTAGGAGTAACATCACACACTTCAATACAACTTTGCTTATGTGGCACGTATTTAATGAAGAAAGAGGTGCTTGTGGTAACTAACTAAGTTACCGGAACATCACACACTCCAAGAAACAATGAGTCTATAACCTAATAAATACATCGTTGCATGACACTACATAGATGTTCCTACCCACTATGGAGGTAGTAACATAGTCTAGGGAAGTGTGAAGTTACTAGCTTATGTTCTTGCCTATTGTGACCAGCCTAATAAGCAATACCCCAAGAAAAGTACAAACATTATTAGGCTGTACTTCCTACCGGCCTTGAAGTTGGCAGTTCCCCGGAATTTGTCTGAAATATTCACCTGCAACCGGATGAGTTTCAGCCTATCCGCTGCCGTTTTTGTTGAATCTATTATTAGCTCAGCGGTATTTCTGGCTCACTATGGAAAACCCTTTATACTCTTCGTTGCAGTGTGATGAATTGCTGCCAAAGTGCCAATACTGGTTCCTGTGGAAAGTTCACTCAGTAGTTATAAAAACTGTTTTTCTTCCGCATTGCATTAAGAAGAAGAGAGTTGGTCAATTAATAAGGAAAACCACACACAAAAACCATACATGACGCGGTTAATTAGGGAAACCCGTCTAATATAACCACACACGGTTAAAACTGTTATAGTATAGGAAGTTTTTAGTTACCTGAATATTTTTACACTAACACTTGCATAATAAAGACATGTTTGTGATGTATTTTTATTCTCCACAGACTTGAAGCATCTATAGCCGAGCTCCCCATACTCCTCTATACGTCCGGGCGAACAACCCGATCACTGACTGGTAAAAAAACCTGACCCGGACGGACGCCTCATACTGGCCCTATAAAAAAAAACCTCTCCCTAAGGTAAGTCTACCGAACTTAACTATTTTTGATCTGATTCGGCCGGATTCGTGGAATATAGTGACTAGGAGAAAGCCTGCTTGCTGGGCAGGGGCTAGAACGGCGCCGGCGCCGGCCGCGGTGTCAACGCCGGAACTGCCGGCGATCGGGATCGTAGCGGCTCGACAGAATCGTTTGAATTTCCTTCTCGGTCAAAGTGGGCCGAGTCGGGCGGAGTCTGGGCCGCAATTGGGTGGGCCGGGGTCAACTGGGTATGAGGCCCAGGTTGAACCGGTGCCATCCCATATTGGTTGCGCCGACTCGCGTAGGATCGTGTTCGACCTCTGCAACTCTCGTGAGCAAGGGTTCGACGGCGCAGGGCGATGCCTGGTTTTCTCTCCTGTGGCCCTGGTCGTGTGTGAAAGGATCGAGAAGAGGTGTCTAGAGAGGGGTGATTAGACAGTGGAGTTTTGGCACAAGTTTAACAAACAGAATACATATCAAGCAAGCATTCAAAGAGTATATGAGCAGCGAAAAGTAAAGCATGCAACTTGCAAGAATGTAAAAGGATGGGATTGGAGTGTGCAAACGCAATTTGGAGACACGGAGATTTTTGAGACGTGGTTCCGATAGGTGGTGCTATCGTACATCCACGTTAATGGAGACTTCAACCCACGAAGGGTAACGGCTGCGCGAGTTGGCTCCACCCATGAAGGGTCCACGAAGAAGCAGCCTTGTCTATCCCACCATGGCCGTCGTCCACGAAGGACTTGCCTCACTAGGGTAGATCTTCATGAAGTAGGCGACCTCCTTGCCCTTACAAACTCTTTGGTTCAACTCCACAATCTTGTCGGAGGCTCCCAAGTGACACCTAGCCAATCTAGGAGACACCACTCTCCAAGAAGTAACAAATGGTGTGTTGATGATGAACTCCTTGCTCTTGTGCTTCAAATGATAGCCTCCCCAACACTCAACTCTCTCTCAAAGGATATGGATTTGGTGGAAAGAATATTTGAGTGGAAAGCAACTTGGGAACGCTAGAGATCAAGATTCATATGGTAAGAATGGAATATCTTGGCCTCAACACAAGTGTAGGTGGTTCTCTCTTAGAAAAGGTAAGTTGGAAGTGTAGGTTCGTTCTGATGGCTCTCTCCACAAATGAAGAGGAGGTGGAGGGGTATATATAGCCTCCACACAAAATCTAACCGTTACACACAACTTGCCAATCTCGGTGGGACCGAATTGATAAACTCGGTCGGACCGACTCAGCAAATCTAGTGACCGTTAGGATTTTCGGTGGGACCGACATGCAACTCGATAGGACCGATATGGTTAGGGTTAGGGCATAACGTAATCTCGATGAGACCGATTACACAAACTCGGTGAGACCAATTTTGGTAATAAGCTAACCAATGAGTTGGTCAGGTAAACTCGGTGGGACCGATTCGCTCATTTCGGTGAGACCGAAATGTCACGAAAAGGAAACAGAGAGTTTACATTGCAATCTCGGTAGGACCGATTACGCAAACTCGGTGAGACTGATTTTGGTAATAAATCCATACAGAGAGATTGCAATCCCATCTCGGTGAGACCGAGATCCCTATCGGTGAGACCGATTTGCCTAGGGTTTGTGGTAGTGGCTATGACATCTGAACTCGGTGGCGCCGAATAGAAAGAATCGGTGGGGCCGAGTTTGACTTTTGGTTTAGGTCATGTGGATGTGAGAAAGTAGTTGAGGGCTTTGGAGCATATCACTAAGCATTTTGAGCAAGAGCCTCATTAAGCAACACCTCATCCCTCCTTGATAGTATTGGCTTTTCCTATAGACTCAATGTGATCTTGGATCACTAAAATAGAAAATGTAGAGTCTTGAGCTTGGAGCTTGAGCCAATCCTTTTGTCCTTAGCATCTTGAAGGGGTTCCACATCCTCTAGTCCATGCCACTTCATTGTTAAACTTATCTGAAACATACTGGGTAAAAGTGTTAGTCCAACAAGAGATATGTTGACATTAATTACCAAAACCACCTAGGGAGCACTTGTGCTTTCAATCTCCCCCTTTTTGGTAATTGATGACAACATACATCAAAGGTTTAGATAAAGATATAGAGAATAGTAAGTAAAGCTTTGGAAAGACATGTAACATGCATAGGCTCCCCCTACATATGTATGCAATCATGTGAATATGGAATATAGGAGCATGTGAATGCATAAACATGACAGAGTAAGCAATGTGTTACATGTATCTTGATTATATGCATCAGAGCAAATGATGTGAATATGAGAAATGTACCTTCATGCTCATGAGTCCTTCTTGCAAACAATATGTACATCAGCAAGAATTTCTCATACACATGACTGTGATGCATATACTTACCTTGTGGTCTTGAGTTGGCTTAGGATGGGATGAACCTGCGTAAACAAGGTTAGATAACACAGATACACCTACTGGCCAGAGCAAACAAAAGAAACCACAAGAGTACCAAGACTGGGATGACATGTAGAGTGAGTACTAAGTACCACATTGGATATAGACATGTCCCCAAAGGTAAAGATGTGCAATAAATTCAAGGATTTCCTTCCCTTAGATGTCTTGCTCCCCCTGAATCTAGCATGGGATACTGGGAGAAGATAGGGAACAGAAAATCAGAGCTCAAAGGAAATAAATAGAGCTAACAAGCAAATATGAACATGTCTTTCCCCTCTTGAATACATGTGACTTCTCTCCTCTTGAACACCAAGCATCTGGGGTCCTTGATGATTACTCTTTCTTCCCTTGAGTATTCTCCCCCCCTATAGATATGATTAAGCTTTAATGTGATCTCTCTCTCCCCCTTTGACATCAATTTCCAAGAAGGGTTCTTCTGGATTTTTGTCATGATGGCTTTGGTCCTTGAGTCACAGAACAAAGCAGCAAGTTGAATGGGATGCTGGTCGAGGACAAGATTCATTGAGTGGAGCTGGATCACAAAAAATGCAGAAACAAGTGGCAAGATGTCTTTCCTGTAGTGAAATCGGTGACACCGAGTTGTATGGTTCGGTTGTACCGAGAGGATTCGGTTGGATCGAAAGCATCAGACCGGTGAGACCGAGTCCATCATAGAGAAAACACTTGTCACCTCAGCTCACTAGACAAGTAAGATCTCACAAGGATTTGCAAGGAATTAACTGAAAGATTTGCAATGAATTGGATGCAAGGAATGCAGAACAGAAAATAAAAGAGAAGAAACTAAAAAGGAGTCTAGATGAAGTTTTTTTTGAAGAGGGAAACAAATATGCATGAGACAAATGCAAGAGCACAAAAAAGAACACAAGAGAACTTCATCTAGAATTGGTCGGCGACAAAGTCACCTATGTTAGAGTATATTGACTTGGGAGTCAAGTGAGATCACTTGATCATAGGTCATACTCATCGTTTAAGCTCAAAATGGGGTTATCATTTTTCATTTAAGCTTTTTGATGTATTCACATCTTGTCAAGTTGCTTTGACTCATGACTTGGAGTAAAGCTTCTCTAAGATGGAATAACATACCTTGGGTGGTGGTGTTGATCATGATCATGTAGTTGAACTTGTGTGGGTTGCTCAAGGTTGATGTAGCTCATCAAGAGTTGGGAGCACCACTTGTAGTTTGAGTTCATCTACCTACATGGGTTAGTTTTTGCAAGGAAGAGCACTTGTGTATCCAAAATGACAATCATGAAACTCAACATAGAATTTGTCAAAGGATATGTTTGAATGGTTGCGTGCTTCCTTGTCTTTATCCACCAT